GATGGGCCGCCTACCCTTGATGTTTTTGTGGTGTTGAGTATTTGCCAACCACCAACAGCTGGTTGTCGATCTGCTATATTGTATCTCCTCGCGTGCATTGCAGTTGTTTTTTTATGAGACAGGAGGGATTTCCCCCTACTGAGAAATTTTATTAAAATGAAATAGTACAAAGATTACAATTAAAGAAAGCCTTCTAGCCATGGTTCAAAAAGCGGTAAGAAAGCTCCATTCACTTCTTTGTATAATTAATATAACAAAGGCTGCTATTTGACTGAAAATGGCTTTACACTTTGCAGTGCAGGTTAGTTGGAGGTTCCGAAAGATATAATCATTTCAGAATGTCCTCCGGCACATTAAGGCGATTACTTCCATGTAAAAATGTACTGATAGCTGTTGTTTGAAGTAAACCAGTAAGGGTTATCAGTGCTTGGGATTTGGAGGCCCAGACGCGTGCATTGCTGTTGAACAAACACTGGATTAGCTTAGCCTCGTTCTTCGCGTGACACTAACTGCGAGGACTCTTTGATTTTCTCTTCTTTAGACAAACTTACGCCACGTGCCGCCGTCCTTTCAGTTCATTTCAAGTACACCTCTTGCAATATAAAAGGCGAAGACAGCAGGGGTGGAATGAGAACTGAACTGACCGAGAAGCAAACAGAATGAAAGGAGACTCCATCAAGAGTGAGGCGGAGGAGTCGAGCCTGCCTCTTCTTCCTCTTCTCCATGGCACGCCTTCACAGGTCACTGCTTAGCTTAATACTGTCTCATCACTTCGTTGTCAAGCTTTGTTACTTTGCTTGTGCCGTTTTGTATTTGTTTATTTTTGCATCGAGGTTACCGGTGTTTGACAAAGTGCGTACAAGCTTAACCTCGTTCTGTTTGTCTGTCATCGATAGATCCATACAGTTGTTTGGCAGTTCATGTTGACAAATAAACAAAACAGGTTTGGAACGATGAACAAAAGGTTGTACCCATTATTCTAGAACAAGGAAAGACTCTTTGTTCTGTTCTATGGGTAACCATAGAAACTTCTTTCTTGAAAACTGATTTAGTATGCTGAATACCCCCAAAGAAAAGGAACATCCAATTTCCTTTTGATGCTCTTAAGAACAACAAAAGTATCATGGCATGTTGCATCTGAGTGGAGTGCTTAACAAAGACCAGCTATCTTGAGCAAAATCACACACAAGAAACAGCTGTTCTAAGGCCTCTTCAGCTCCTTGAGAGCAGAGGACACAAGCATGTAAGAATGATCTAAACCATGTTCCTTTATTTAAGACTATATTTTAGTGGTGAGCCTGTGTTTCATAAGTAGCTGAAAGAACCAAATACAACCTTATGTTTATATATTGACACGAGTATTTCCAAAACCACTTAGAAGCCAAATGTGTCTCTGAATGCCATACCCTATCAAACAATTGTATATGCTCTAGTAGGGGAGTAAATTTGAGGCCCCTGACTGTATGTCCACCAATAATAATTATGTTGGTGTTATACCTCATAAAATGTTTTCAATATCCTTCAATTGAATAAATGTCTGTTGATAAAGGCAAATAAAACAAATTCAGAAGATCTGTTCTTCCCTAGACTTCCTGAAGAGTAATGCGTTGATCGTTAGCGAAGGAAAAAGATGTGGATGAGTTTGGTAGTGGACTCTATTCTCCCAAAGATCTCCACAGAACAGCATATTTTGCCATCTTGCAAAACCACCGAAACAATTCATTCCCTCCATGGATCTACACATTCGCGCAGGCACTCGTCGCGTCCACCGTGCGCCCGCGACCGGCCTCGTGCTGGCCGGCGTCGGCCTGCTGGCCGAGCCAGCTAGAACGACTCTCCGCCTCGTGCGCTGGTGTTGGCACGACAGCTCCAGCCTATCCCTTTCGTGGAGCGTGCGGCCGGCCTTGTGCTGGCCGGCGTAGACCTGCTGGTCGCTTCTGGCTGTGGCGGCTGTGTATCTGCTCATAGGGGTGCCAGGGCCGGCCAGCGCCTACCGATGCCGCGGCCAGGATCCAGGCCCGCAACGGATTTGTTGGCAACCGGCCTCCCCAGTCGTCCGGTGGTCGGAGTCCCTCACCCTCTCTTGACTCCTGCCCGTTGGCTGCTGTCCAGATCCGGCCGGCCAGAGGCTGGTGCGGCTAAGGCTGGCCTGGGCTGCTCAGCGGCTGCTGGAACCGTGGCCGCCTACCCACAGCAGGCAAGCAGAGCTGGACTCACCCCTTGCGGCTGTGGCCAGGGCCGGGGCGACAGCAACTGCTGGGTCCCGCGCATGCCGGCGCTATGGCGTTGCTGCGGTCATGGCGCCTGTGCCAACCTCTGATGGCGTGCATGGCGGTCGGGGCCTGTGGCCGGCTGTCTGTGGGGTGCCACAGCGGCCGTGCTCGAACAATTTCTTGGGTGAGAAGTCTGCACGGCTCCTTGCTTCGGCCGGCAGCGGTGGTACAATTTAACTTCTTGAAGGCGCCGTTGAAGTTCCTATTTGTCGCATAAGTCAATGGGGGCGGTTCTAGTAAAGCCCTCGTGCTATTCGTTCAACGTTGTTGGCGTCCGTGGATGTCATCCCCTTCTTGGAGGCTTCGTCGGAGCACTTCTGCCACAGTCCTATTTCGATCGCCCGAGTTGCTCCTCGTTGCGTTGTGCCCGTGTGCGCTTTAGCTTTATCTTTGCATTGGTCTGTCCAGCTGGGATGTTTGGTGTTGCCGCAGTCATCTAGATCTTCATAGCAGATTCTTGGCCGCTTGCGCTCTTATCGGCGGATGCTTTGCCGTCGGTTACCTGGGTGGATGCTTTGCCACCGAAGTCGCTACCCTCTCGCGGATGCTTTGCCGCGTGGTCGCGGGTGGATGCTTTGCCGTCGTGCTACCAGTTGATCTTGTTTGGGCGGGTACTTTGCCGCCGTAGTTGTCTCTTCTCGGTAGATACTTTGCCACCGCGGCTTCATCTTGGTGGATGCTTTGCCACCGAAGTCGCTCCCCTGCTGGTAGTCTTCTCGGTAGGTTGTGGCGGAGGGCCCTCTCCCTACCATGTTTGTTTCTTTTGTGTATTTTGTTCTTAACCACTATCTCTGTGGTTCGTATGATCCCATAGTTGCATTATGTAAGCCGTTCTTTCGGCACTCTAACTTTTTTTTAATGAAATACACGTGAAGTCGTGTTCTCGAATTTTTTTTCTCTACAGACAAGTTGTTTGCTTTTTGGGGGCATCTTTGTTTATGTCATACTTTTGATGGCAATTAATAATAAGCACAGGGCATCTTTGTTTATGTCATACTTTTATGGCAATTAATAATAAGCACAAGTATGGTATTGCTTAGATATATAGAAAAGACAAATCAACTATAGTATTCAAATATATTAAAAAATCTCAAACAGGAATTCCATAAAAAAGTTATGTCTCTGTTTTCCGTTGCATAAAAAAGAAACCTAAAATGTCTACCTTTTTTCCTTTTTGACCATTAACAGAAAGAATGTATACCGATTGAGCTTTAAGTCCGAGTGTACAGTGTTTATGTTGGTAAAGCCATTTAAGTCACTTCTGGATCAGTAGACAGACATATCAACTTTTAAACCGGGCCTGCTTAATGTCCTTGTGTGATGATTAAGTCATGATATGCTGTCAGTATTGCATTGGTCCGAGTCATTTCTGCTCTCAGTGTTCGGTTCTAGTAGCTTCCAGCTGAGCATGGATGCGCGTAGGGCGTAGGCTCAGTTGATTGAGAAAGGACCGGAGAACTGACGAGCCATCAGACAGCCTGAGACCCTAGAGAGTAGAGACAAGGGCAGCTTTGATTTGCCCTACCAATATCTTACAATTACTATAAATAGAGGTTCCACGTTAATTAATTAACATCAGATGCATAATAAAATTTCTCACAAAAATTAGGAACATTTTACCTTTATTAACTTGGCAGACTCAAATTATAATTGCCAAAATACCCATTGGATCTATTTTACTGTATAAAAAATTACCCACATATATCATTATGAAAATATATAACGACACCCCTAGATCTAAATTACCCACCTCTTTAAAATAACACTCAAAATTTGCATCTAAATTACCCGGCCCACATATGTTGTTACAAAAGGTAAAACTCCCACCGTCTCATCAAGATATAAGGTGCGATTTGATTTGGTGCCACTACAAGGATTGTGTTGATACATGTCGGTTTCATTTGGTCATAAACACTCCAAAAATCGTCATAGGTTGCTATCTGTGAGGGTCTCCGAGACTGTCATAAAATCCACGTCATAACTGAAAAAAGCTAAAAACCGTCACAGAATTCAGTTGATCGGTGACGAATGTGGCCGTCATGGAATAGCTATTCAACAGGTTACAAGCATGCAGTCTTTAAGATCATACTTTAACCATTAATTTATACTATTGTATGTAATTTATGGCAACAACAAAAGTATCATTAGAAAGTATTTGTAAAGACAAATATAATGTTACCACTATTGTATTATAGTTTTTTTATATTATTAGACTAATTATTGGTCAAAGATAACGAAGTTTTAATTTTGAAATACATGCTTGCCTCCTAATTTTTATCTAAATTATCCATGTATGCTATTATAAAAGATAATGCAAATTAACATCTAGTTTGTTTTAAAATTACTCATATATGCCATTATGAAAGATAATGCACGGTTACATCTAATTTATCATTAAATAACTTACATGCGCTATTATAAATATAATATAAAATAACATCTTTAATTGGTATCTAAGTTAACACCTCCTCATGGTGTTTGTTGGGGTAGGGTATCTGCGCCTACCCTCTTCCATGTAGAAAGGCCTAACGTCTAATAAGTCTGAGGATCTCCATGTAATTCGCAAATCAAAGGGGTAGGAAGCAAGATTGCCTCCTTCCACCTCTCTTATAAATAGAACCCATGGGCAAGGGCAAAGGAATTCCCCCCTCATTCTCAGAGCCCTAATCTTTAGCTCTTCCTCTCCTTTTCATGCGGGCTAAGTACCTGAGCTTACCGCTCACCTCGATGAAGGTATACCCTCACCCTGGTGAAGGTATTTAGCGAAGGGCTATAACCCCACAGTGTTATAGAAAACAAACTAAAATATCTCTCAATTCCATGTCTTAATACCAATACCATCTACAATGGAACATAATTCAAAAACCACTATTATGATATATAATTAAGTTTATAAACCATACATTTATACCAATGTTATTAAATTAAAAATAAGCATTAAATGTTGAAAAATGTTCCCTTAACAAATAGATTAACAATGACATTTCAATTTCACTTCAAATTATATTAGTGCTCTATGATAAAAAAAATTCAATAAGCTGCCACACTAGAAAAGATTGTAAAACATTATGACATAGCAATAGCCCTCAATATCTTTTTACAAAACAATACATCTTCACATATATTTTTTGATATAGCAAATAAATTAAATTGAACATCAAATCTATGTCGAAACTACCAATATAATATATTATAAAAGATTAAATAACCATAATGTACACTATATAGGTTTCTGAAGTACCCAATTCTATCCATGTTGAATTCAATGTTAGCATAAGTGCTATGTGTCATCAAGTATAACTAGCATACACAAACACATTCACGATAAATACATATGTTTATAGTTTATCAATAGTAAATGAAAGTTTCTCTTGACAAACCATATTCCAATGATAATACAACTGAATAGAGATCACATAATATCCAAACAATTATTTATGTAATAGTAAATAAATGAGAAGAGACAGATAATCAATTCATATTCGTTGTCACGGACTCACAGTAGAAAAAGGTGGCAGTACCAGTGAGCACAGGGGCACGGAGTTTGCATCGATTTATTGTTCACCAAATACAGTTCGGCCGGTATCATGTAAAGTCAGGCATGCCATGTATATATGTATATATGCTTCAATGTGGTTCTGATTGAGTCGAAAACCCACAAAATTTGGTATCAAAAGACAACTCGCAATTTGGATTTGGCTGACAAAACCAACCTGACTGGTTATGAAAATCTAACTTGACCTGTTTCCTTGAGCAATAATTTTTAAAATGGCCATAAGTCCTGCATTTGGACAATTGGACTTCAAATTGATTGTTTCACATGTGCATTGTCTCAATGAGAGCTATGCAACGGTGAAGTCATTCTAAAGTTTGACAAGGTTAAACCGCCCATACTGATTTGCCTAGATTTTCTAGTACTCGCCACTTTTAGTTGTCAACCTGCTAGATGTATTTACTAAAGGGATGGATTGAATGGAGCAGGGATAATGGTAATTTGAAAACATTTCTCTATTCCATCCACTGCAGGACTATGAACAATATACTTGCAATGGATCTGTTGATATCAGAGGCAACCGAGCGTCCAAAAGGCATACGGGAAACTGGAGAGCCTGCTACTCAATTCTTGGTAATGACACAGCATTATTACTATATATTCCACTACGCCGTTCCTGGATGCTGTGTGCATAAGCATTTCCAATTAATATGTGGGGGGTGAATTTTGTACTACTTGCAGGGGGTGAATTTTGTGGCGCTATGGCATACTACGGAGTTGGGACAAACCTGGTGAGCTACCTGACCAAGGTGCAGAAGCAAAGCAATGTCGCTGCAGCCGGCAACATCGCTTTCTGGCAGGGCACGTGCTACCTGACTCCCCTTCTCGGAGCTTTCTTGGCAGATTCATATCTGGGAAGGCACAGAACAATCGTGGTGTCCCTCGTGATATTTACCATGGTAGGTGTAGCCATGTTCTTGCGATTTCTGTTTTCAGTTCAGCTGTTGGCCCATGGTTTACGGTTCCTTGTGGTTGCAGGGAATGCTCCTATTGACACTTTCAGCAATCGTTCCAGGAAGCATTCGTGTAGTGGTGAACTCTCACTCTCAGGATGCCTTGTCTTCTCTGGGCCTCTTCCTGACAGCTCTGGGCTTAGGTGGAATCTGGCCATGTGTTCCCACATTCGGAGCCGATCAGTTCGACGATACCGACGCGCTCGAGAAGGAGCAGAAGAAGCTCTACTACAACTGGTACTACTTTGCTGTGAACGGAGGTTTCTTCTTCGCCAGCACGGTCCTCGTGTGGGTTCAGGACAACCATGGCTGGGGTTTGGGTTTTGGCATCCCTACTGTGGTTTCCGCGGTTGGAATTGCTGGATTCCTTGCCTGTATGAAGCTGTACAGGTATCAGAAACCCGGAGGCAGCGCGCTGACTAGGACTTGCCAGGTTGTGGTGGCGGCCACCCGCAAGGTGAACGTAGATGTGCCGACGGACAGCTCTCTTCTGTATGAGATGCCGCCGGGGAAGGAGTCGGCCATTGTCGGGAGCCGGAAGCTGATGCACACTGATGGACTAAAGTAAGCTGCATTTCGTTTCATATGGTGTCTTCTCTTCAGTCTTTTTTAACAATAACTTCTCTTCTCTTCAGTCTTCACTCGCTCGACGTTACTATTCTCGACATTGTTGAAATTGCGAAATTTAAATACTAAGACAAGACTCCAACACCCCATTTATTAGGTTCTTTGATCGAGCTGCCACCATAACCACCTCTGGCACGACTAACCCATGGAAGCTTTGCACGGTGACCCAAGTGGAGGAGCTCAAGATCTTGGCAAGAATGCTTCCTGTCTTTCTAACAGGCATAGTCTTCAACACTGCCGAAGCTTTCTTTCCGTTATTCATAGAGCAAGGACAGGTCATGGACAGCCACATCATTGAGCAGTTCTGGATACCTCCAGCCACTCTGACGACCTTCAACTGCCTCTGCGTCATCATCCTGGCACCAGCGTATAACAGAGTTGTGATGCCCATGGTGAGTAGGATCACCGGAAAGAAGCGAGGGTTGTCCGAACTGCAACGCATCGGCGTCGGCATGGTCTTTGCTATGTTTTCAATGGCTTCGGCTGCACTGGTTGAGATGGTGCGCCTTAACATCGCCAAGAACAGGGTCCTGATGAATATCCTGTGGCAGGCTCCGCAGTACATGTTTGTCGGAATAGCCAAGGTTTTCAGTGTGGTTGGTTTTATTGAGTTCGCTTATGAACAATCGCCGGATGCCATGAGGAGCTTGTGCCAGGCTTGCTCTCTCCTCATGGTCACGCTAGGAAGCTACCTTGTCTCTATCATGTTGAAGATGATCGATTCAGTGACAGCCGGAAGGGGGAGCCATGGCTGGATACCAGAGAACCTCAACGAAGGGCGCCTTGATCAGTTCTTCTGGTTGATGGCAGGATTGCACCTGCTGAACCTGCTTGCGTTCGTATATTGCGCTACGAGGTACAAGTGCAAACTAGCTACGTGACTTTCTTCTCATAGTTTGAGGCTCGGAGGAGTGCGTTAGTATAGTTGATGAGCATTTACCATTTGTATATTATTATGTGCTACCAACTCAAGTTTTGGAAGATATTTTGTTAACATCTTTAGTGGATTATTGGAACAAGTTGTTGGGATAAAAGGAAGGAACAATGCACAATTAATCTTTCATCTTGTGATGAATCATGAGGAGAACATCTACCATCAATAGTGGAGTTAACAATTACCTGCACAATAGACACAACGATATACGTAGAAAACCTCCTCAAGATGAGGAGTAAAAACCACAAGACCAACATGTCCACTCCAAGCTTCCACTATAATCAATAGTGGGTATAAGGAATCTTCTCTAGAGCATCAAGAGGATTACACTAGCATCAATCCATTCATCAAGTTATAAACTTGGCATCAACTACAACCATAACCTTCTAACAAGAGGAATAACAGTAGCCACACAGAGAAGTCACGGATTCTGTCCTCTTGGGTAATCAGTTCATTTCTCACAAACTACAGCTCCACCGTGCACAAATTTTGATAGGAAAGTAGATCCACGAGTCTCCTAACCATTGACCAAATTTCAGCTCAATCGGCACAGTTTCACAACCCAAATAAATCATCTACCAAAATTGCTCTGTCATGAAATTGCAGTACCCTGAACTGACAAACTCCTTAGATAAGGTTCTCTAGTCAACCAATCCTCAAAACAACTTGACAGATTAAAGTACTCTGAATGAGGAACGAGATAACCATGTTTGGTGCGAGCCCAACCACGTTTGAGCCTTCAATCACTGGCTTGAAGATGACCAGTTCAGAGCCACAAATCTACACAGATTTCTCCCTTCTTCCTCTTCCTCTCTTTTTCACGTTGTGGTTCTTGTGTTTTGCTCTCTCCTCCCTCTCTCACAGCAGCAACATCTAAAGCAAAAGGAGGCTAGAGGTTTTGCTTTTATCCTTCCCAAGAAGTGGTCTCAATCGTTGATTTGGGCACCAAATCAACAGTGCACAAGCACTAGGCTTGTGAGCTGCATTTGGGCTGATTTGTTGGACTCAAAATCACCCTCCACGTGAAGGGATAGGCCAACAGACCCCCCCCCCTCCCATCATCATGGAGGGTCTCACTGCCTTTCCACAGTCATGCCAGCGAGAGTCGGCAACAAACATCGAGCTTTGAGAAGGCATTTGATAAAGTTCAGCATGAGTACATGTTACAGATAATGGAGGCAAAAGGTTTCCCACATAGATGGCTACATTGGATGAGGGCAATTTTCTATTCAGGCACCTCTTTAGTTCTTCTTAATGGTGTCCCTGGCAAGGTTTTTCATTGTCTCAGGGGTGTCAGGCAAGGGGACCCCCTTTCTCCTTTGCGTTTTGTCTTAGCAGCTGATTTCTTGCAGACCTTACTTAATGACTCAAAGCACAATGGATAACTTCAACTTCCCATCCCTTTTCAAGGAGACCCTGATTTTCCAATTCTGCAATATGCAGATGATACTTTGGTTTTCATGCAAGCTGATTTGCCCCAATTGCTTCATTTGAAGGACATCCTCCATTCCTTCGATAAATCCTTCATGGTACCAGTTAATGTCCCCTAGGAAAAGCTTGACTTGTTAGCCACTGCTTTTGGCTATTCCAACAAGGCTTCACTTCCCTTTACTTACTTGGGATTACCCCTAAGCACCTCCAAACCTTCAATAGCTGACTTTTGGCCATTGGTTTCCAAATGTGAGAGGATACTGGGTTCCTTCTCATCTTATTTGTCAGAGGCTGGTCGATTGGAGATGACAAATGTTGTACTCTCTGCTCTCCCCACCTATGCTATGAGTACCTTCCTGCTCCCCAAAACTGTGATCAAGCAAATAGACAAGTTTCGAAAGCACTGTCTTTGGAGGGGATCAAACCCTAATAACAGAAAGCCATCCAAGGCAGCCTGGCCAATGGCTTGCTTACCCAAAGTGAAAGGAGGTTTGGGGGTTCTTGACCTCCAAACTCAAAATGAATGCCTTCTAATGAAAAACCTACACAAGTTCTTCAAAAGATCACATATTCCATGGGTGCAATTAATTTGGAGCTGCCACTATAATGCCAACCGGTTGCCACATGCTGCTGGCCCTGCTAGAGGTTCCTTTTGGTGGTGTGATGTTCTGAAGATGCTAAGAAAATTTAAGAGTTTTGCTATTTTGTTAGTCAGGGATGGAGCAACCTGTTTCCTTTGGCATGATGCTTGGAACCCTGTCATCTGGACTCAGCATTTTCCTGAATTGTACTCTTTTTGTCGAGATAGATTCATCACTCTCAAGTCAGCTGTTGCTCAGTTTTTGCCTCAGGATTTGTTCCACTTACCACTGTCAACTGAAGCCTACCATCATTTCCAGCAGCTTGTTCACTCTTTTCAGAACTTTCAGTTACAGCAAGCCTCTGATTTGTGGTCATATATTTGGGGCTTGTCAATTTACTCTTCAAGCAGAGCTTATCAGTTCCTTGTTGGTCATCAACATGTTCACCGCTGTTACTCCTGGCTATGGCGCTCAGCTTGCCAGCCAAAACGAAAAGTTTTCTTTTGGCTCCTGCTAAAGGACAGGATCAGCACCAGGCAGTCACTCCGACGAAGATCTATGTTTTTGGATGGCTATAACTGTTTTTTTTTGCATCTCTGCTGTGAAGGAGGATTTGCCTCACCTTTTCTTTCATTGCCCTTTTGCAAGCACTTGCCGGTCCAGTTTACAACTCCAGGTACCTAATGCTGTGGAGGTGGAGGCCATCATTGAAGCCTTCAGGGTACAGCTTCAACTTCCTTTCTTTATGGAAATTGTTGCCACCATGTGCTGGGCGATTTTGATGGTGCGAAATAATGCTATCTTTTAGGGCGAGGCGCCGTCAGTGCTTGCCTGCAAGACTATCTTCAAGAAAGAATTTGCTTTCGTAGTGCTGTGAGCAAAGTCCATATTTCATCCACGAATAGATCAATGGCTGCACGCTTATGTGTAATCTTCTCAATTTTCTTTGTAACCTTTTTTTATCATGAGACCATCTGTACTGCTTGACTTGTATTTTATTTGCCTTAATAAAGTTCAGTAGGGGCTTGCACCAGCCCCTCCTGTTTCATAAAAAAAAACACATCGAGCTTTTCTATTGTCATCCACTACTACAGTAAACATTTATAGGGCCGGCTGCCGATAGTATTAGAGGTGGTTATGCCAGCAGTTCCTACCATACCGTCTTTACAAATCAAGAGTTTGTAGGGGCGGTTCCCAAGCCGCCCCTACAAATCGATTTGTAGAGGTGTCGCCTCTGCAAAAATGATTTGTAGGGGCGGCTGTAACACCAGCCGTCTCTATAATTTCCATTTGTAGGGGCGGTTCAACATTTTTCCGTCGAAAAAATTCAAATTGAACCACCCCTACAATATATTTTCCTGTAAAAAATTTCAAATTTCAAAATTCAAATCTAACCGGAACATATATACGCATATATAATTCAAATATTGTATCCACAAGCACAAGATTATTATATAAACTAACATTACAAGTCTAATTCACAAGAACATATATAATTCATCGTTACATAGACATAATTCACAAGTTCAATCCGTTCCACAATTCTAAACCGTTCCACAAGGTAAGACCAATGTCATATTTTATACACATTGTTATCAACGGCCTAGAGCTAGCCTTTCCGTCTCACAAAGATATTGGTATTGAGGATGCCTTCCTAACTCGGATTTTCGGTCATGATAATTGCCTCTTACGTGTATAATCTGGTCCAATATGAAGGCGCAAAGATCGCCGACGAGCTCCAAGAGGTTGTCATCTTTGTGTGGGTCAGCTCTCATTCCTTTCTCTTTTTGCCACTACAATTAAACAAGTGAGCATATATAAAAACAGTGAGGATATATAAACACAATTAAAGAGGTTGAAGAGGTTCAAACTTACCCTACAGGGCTATCTCCTATAGGTACCGGTGTTACTCATCATAGTGAATATGTAATATCCACAATGTAGACTCCCGAGCTTCTGCTTGGCGCACTATGTGTTTCGCATATAAAAAT